TAAACGGCTTGACCGATTTTAAAGAGTAATTTGATGTCAATGACCGTAGTAATTAGACCATTACTATCTTATGTTAACCCAGATTTGTATGCGGGTTATTATATTCTAAAATAGTTTTTTTTTTTCAAGAATTCAAGCAATGGATAATAACAGCCAGCATTATGGTTACTCACGTCAATATTTACAGGCTTAAAAATAAACGCGGTATAAAGTTAAACTTAGGAATATACTTAGTATAAGCAAAATTTGTGCTATATATAATATTTTGTTGAGTTTTTTAAAGTATTTGTGCCTAAACATAAAAAATAAACTACTATTAAGGGTTCACTCGGTAGTAACTAAGTTTTACCTGGTTGGCTGAACGTCAAAAGCCCTTTGTCCGACCTCTTAAAAAGTTAACTTCTAGGTACTCAAGGCCTGCTGGTCAGTAAGGGAAACCTTGACTTGGGCCGTCACGGTACCATGGTTTATAAAAGAATTTACCGGGTATGTAACAATTATTCTCATGTTTCCTTCTTAAAAAATCAATTTGATGGAAATTTCTGTTCGTTAATTCGTTTAACAAAATTCTTGTCTCTACATTTACTCTACGTTATATTCCGCACTTAACAGTCCAGTCATAATTAGAATTGCATTTATTAAATGAATTAACGTGCGGTATCGAGCAAAAAATATCAATTGTCCTTTGTTGTCGTTTAATTACTAAATTAAAACAAGGGCTTATTATTTAGAACCACGCCCGCCGGCTACATCGGACTTTTCATTTGCCGCCATTATGCGTTTACTATAAAAATAATAATTACAGATAATTAAAACTACTAAATTGCAAACTTAAGGATGCGATTTGAATATCAAGTGATATGCGAAAATGATTCTTAAATACAAAGGTCAATAAGGGGTGAGTTGCGAAGCTTAACAGCATAAAAAAGTTTGTATGAGACTATATCAAGGCAAAACTACGCTAAGTAGTAGCAGTTGTGCTCGAGGCGTCGTGGGAGTTGGTCATATACACGACCAGGCAAAAGACGCTGCCGTTAATTTTTTTGTGTTGTGATTATTTTTATTTAAGGATTGTGTGAAATGCAGTGGTTTCTGGCTGTTTTACTATGTTCGGCTACGCTTGCGGTAGGAAGCGGTGAGTGAATACTGTTTGTTCAATTTAACGGTTTCTTGTAGGGATATAGGTACCGTTGCTGTCGCGAATAAAACGCAAGACGTTTATCGCTTTTTTTCATAAAAACTTAACGGTTTAGCTTTAGCACACAAATTCGAGATAAGTTTTATTTAAATTACTCAAATGACTGGCTGATTTTATAATTACTTGGCTGCGATTAAATGAAAAATAATGTCACTTAACATCTGAATGTTATTGGACCTTTACAATATGAAAGTACATAATTAAGTAAACTTGTTTAAAAATGTCTGTTCATCATTCAATCACGTTTCTGAAAGTTCCCCTCATCTTACAAGAAAAAAATTACAACAAAAAAGGAAAAAGATTTGTACCCCATACCGACGTTTTTGTACAATTGTTTCAGGAGTGAAAATTAGTTGTATCTGTTCAGATCCCTGAGGTTACAAGACTTACGTAATTTCAGCTAGATTGTCGTTATTTGTTAATTCCTTACTTCCATAAAGATACTTACTTAAAATTATAAATGGGTACATTAAAAAAATAATTAAAAATGCAGTCTGTCTGTTGTTACCTGATAACGTAGCTTTTTATTGATAAAAGAATTTTTGAAAACGGCTCAGTAGTTTTTGAGTTATTTCATTACATACAAAAATACAAATCTTTCATCTTTATAAATTAGTATAAGCAAAGTTTCGATAGATGGATTAATGTTACTACGAATGCCGTTTCTCCAAAACGGCTTTACTGATCTCGATGAAATTTGACACAGACGTACAACGTAGTCAGAAAGACACAAGCTACAGAGCTTTTAAATCCGCGCAGTCAAAGTCGCGGGTAAAAACTAGTTTAAAAACGTTTTCATATAAAATTAAATATAAAAAAACAATAGGTTAAAAGTATTTTGTCAAGCTTGATGTACTTTAGCAAGGTGTTATAGATAACATGTTATTTGTTGAATAAAAAAAAGTTGTTATCAAGTACCGTTAACTGACCGATACTTTTGGCGCCACCTTTGCTTATGAACGCTTCATTGATAAACAATTTATACAAATAATTTTATTGACATAAAACTCAAGATAATATCGACGCGTCACAATTAACAAGCGGGTGTTCCCGCGATTTTTGTGGAACGTGCAGGCAAAAGAACAAGAAACTGACATGATGCTAAGTCAGTTGATACCTCTTCTTACCATTTTATATTAAGAAAACAATGCAGAGAAAAAAGTATTTGGTCAGGGCGTTAATGATCTAGAAACGGCACTGGCCAGCGACTCCGTCCCCGTGGAAAAAAAACTAAAGTAAGCGTATGCGTTTTTCCAGACTACGTTCTACAGCTACGCCAAATTTTATCCAAATCCGTGCAGACGTTTAGGCTACAAATTCTAACAAACATCCATCCATTCTAAACTTTTGCATTTATAATATTAGGATGATGGTTACGGGCACTGGTCCATCTCATAGGGGATATGGTCCTCGAGGCTGACTTTTAAAATATTCATATTTAAATGACGACTTTTAAACTCGATTAAACGAATTCGAACCTAACGTGGAAGAATGATCTCATTTAGCAGTACACTATGTGAATTATTAATGTATGGAAATTGCATGCAACTAAATTTACATACAATCGAATTACGAATATTCTAACAAACATGTGTGAAGAAATAAGATATATGTAGCAACAAATACAAAAATAAAATACTTAAAAAAGAAAAGTTGTATATTTCAAGCATATTTGACTTAAAATAACTATATAGCTGTCGACTTATCCAGAAAAATATTTTTTTTTGGTTAAGAGATGCTGATTTGAAAGAACCGTTAGCGTCTAGCAACAAAATGATAGCACCTGTGCCGGATGGTGCAAATTTTTTACAACACCACGCCCAAGTCCGTTTTTACTCTATGTTTGATTTTCACGCGAAGAGAGAGAGAGAGAGAATAAACGACGGTTTTGCATCGGTTTACAAATTGTATAGATAGTTGGGACATAATACAATAAGTAATCGTATTTTTGGTATGATTTTGGTATATCAGAAGGCGGGAATTTCCTAACATGTTTGAAGCGGCAGTGATGTAACTAGGAGAACGTTAGTTAAGAGTGTGGTACACCGGTGGAGGTAGACCTAGAAAGAGATGGATAGATTGCGTGAAAGGTGACATGATCAAAAAGGGAGTGACTGAGATGACGAATGATAAGATATGTGGAGGACAAAAACCTGTCGCGTCAACCCTACGGTAGTAGGATAAGGTGGGTGATGATGTTTAAAGCAGCAGAGATTTTTCTACTCTTTCAGTAGCAGGTGTAACACCCCGGAGATAAAACTATAATTACTATGGTCTATATATTTCATATTCGCACTGTAAGTGAGATAGGTACCAGCTCTTTTAGACCTGCTTTCGCATTCAACATGTTACAATAGTTTTTTGGAGAAAAGTAATGATTTCTAACGTGTTACATTATTATTACGAACAGGACAGACAGGGTAATAACTTCGTCCTTTCAACAAACTAATAATAAACGAGGAAAAACTCTTGATTCTCACGACCAGCCGCCTAATTGACTGTTGCGCCAATCTAATTGTCGTTGATCATTAAAATTATCTTTAAAAGATGTCATCATTATAAAATAAAAAAAAATTGAAGGCTGACTATTGTATGGATCTAAACTATTAAATGTAATTCCGTAACATTGTATTAATCTAACTAATATTATAAATGCGAAAGTTTAGATGGATTAATGGATATTTGTTAGAGTTTGTAGCCTAAATGTATGAACAGATCTCGATGAAATTTGGCATAGATATAGAAGCAATGCTGGAAGAGCACATACTAACTTTTGTTTATATTATACGCGAACGTAGTCGCTGGCAATAGCTAGTAATTGTACAAATTGCAATCACTGCCAGAGTACTATTAGGATTTTCGTTTTTACTGTGTTTGTAACACTGAAAATTTTAAACAAATTCTTCAGACAGAGCACCTTAAAGTGTTGCCATTTCAAGCACTTTATTTAAAATGTTTCACTTTTTTTTAATTATAATCTTGGTGACTTCAATGACAGTATTATTTACATGCATCACGGGGATGTGACATCATGAGATAGCGAGAGGTCGCAGCTGGATGAATGAAACGCGACCCCTGACCGATGATAACGAAATGACGTATCCGCCGAATCAAAGCACGCGTTTGCCGCCATTACACTGACGCATGTTTTTTTTACAAAGACAAAAGTTTTAATTGTTATGCCACTGTTTTAATGATTTGTGTTTATATTCTTAAATTTAAAAAGAAACCATTGTTAAATGATGGTTACGAGTTTTTTTATATCATAAGGTGGCAAACGAGCAAGCGGCCGCCTTAAACCGCCACAATGGCGAAGCCACCACTGGTCATAGACATCCGCAATAGCGAATGCGTACACTTGCGTTGCCTACACTTAATCAACGGAGAAAGTAACACCACACTCATCAGACGAATCGCGGAATTGCTCCCACTTCAAGACTGTTTTCTGTGTGGTCGTAGTATTACACCGAGAGAGCCAACCTATTCGTGCTAAGATATTAAAGCGGGCTCTATCACTGTTAAAACAGGCTTTGCCATTGTAGTATTCAGCTTTTACATAGTTTCCGTACAATAACCACGATCATTAACGTAAACAAAAGTTTTCTCACCAAAAGACTTTGAAACGTGCATTGTTGCAATGTAAAAGCCCGTGACTCACCCGGTACAATGGGCGTGAAGGAAAAGCGAAAATATCAGGTATCCAAAGCTGATTCATCGGAAGCACGTAACGTTTAGAAACAATATTGATTTATGCAACACTTTCCAAAAGAAATGTATAGAAAGTAATGCCAAAAACCTCCATTTCATCGACGGCCAATGTCAGTGAATACGGAATCGAGTATTTTCATGTCTTTATTATCATCAACTTACTGTACGTCGCTACTAAGGAGCTCCAGGCCTACCCTAAATTAGGGGTGACTAGACCATGGTCAACCACGCTGGCCGAGTGCGGGTTGACATCACACATTAGATATGAATTTCTTCGCCGATATGTGCAGGTTGCATTACGATGTTTTCTTTCACCGTAAGACCGTCGGGTAAATTATGTACATATGAAATTCAAAAAAATCGAAAATAAAATTGGTATATGGCGGGATTCGAATCCGATACCTGTAGATTTCAAGTCAAGTGCAAACCCCTAAGCCACCGACGAACTATAGAGCACCATTTCATGTCTTATGTGCCAAATAGGTGAGGCAAATTCACCTGACATTGACATGTACAGTCGCCAACAGCGTGTGTATAATTTATTATTGTTCGGTATGTAATAATTAAAATGTTATTATGAACTTCAACCCGCCTATATTAATTATGTACAGGAATCGGTTTGCGTAGTTGATAAGAGTATAAGCTCATGATTTCGTGTAAATATACCTAAACTCTTGTTTTCTTGTGACACGTGTTCGCACATTACGGTTCATTAGTTCGTGGTTCACTGGACATTATTATTTGCTCATATTTAATCAGTTATTTTCTATTGTTGATTAATCTTTTTAGTATAAAAGCTGTAAAGTAGTTGTATCAAGAATTTCCAAAGAAATAATTATATAGTTTTTATCTCCTTTAGACATTTTGGCTAACTTTTACGTACGCTGTATAACAGGGATCACTTACTGGTACATTTACCTTAATCTTCCTGCTTATATTATATATGCGAAAGTTTAGATTGATGGATGTTCGTTAGAGTTTGTAGCCTAAAAACGGCTTAACGGATCTAAGTGAAAGACATGGTCATCAACGCAAACACATCATCTTTCCGAAATCTGGAATTTTTCTTTTGATATTACAAACAGACACTCCAATTTGTATATCGATATAGACTAAATAAGTATGTCGGAGTAAAGAACGGTTTATAGAATTCAATTCCGAAGGCAGATCATATACACGGTAACGATCGACGATATAAATAACAATCGCGTAACATTAGCAACACCATT